TCCCAGCTGCAGGGACTGATAAGGCTTCCTGAACACACAGCGATCCACTCTGCCGTACGAACAGAGGCAAACTGGCAGACGCCTCGTCTTTACTCAGGAAATCTAAAGGTGTCATTTTTAAAGTAAGTTATGTTTGGCAGGAAGAGTGGGAGTCGGTTTAAACTATGGATCAACTCTGAGCTCCACAGAAACAGGATCAGAGCTCAGAGCAGCAACTTAATGTAAGATATTCATTTGTGCTCATGATGTTGCTGATTCCTTTTCTGAGCCTCGTTTTTACTGTCGCATCTCCTTCAGCAGATGCTTCACAGACAGAGTCCCACTTACTTCCTGGTCAGCTGTCCTCACTTGTATTAAAGTAACTTTGTTTTATCGCCGACCCTTTGACGTGACGTCACACTTTTCATAACTGCTCCGCCATGACGGAACAACCAGTGCTCTCTATTAAAGCTCATCTAAAACCAAGCAGCTGGTAGAAATATTTCGCTTTTATTTAGTTGATGTCATTTTAAAACATTCAGAGGCTGCTGCACAGACAGGCATAGGAAGCAAATTTGTCTTTTTATTTGATCATTTTTAATGAGGAAAGTTGTGGATCATAATGACTGTCAGATTACAAATTTGCTTGAAACACTTTTACAAAGTAAGAATATTGACATTCATATACTCTATAAGTAACTATAGAAGGAACACGTCTAATGGAGGCCTGAGTGACATGGCTACAAAAGGTCAATAGGTGAACATTTCACATTCTCTGATTTAAATAAGAACATTTAGAAAAGGCAACAAGAGGAATATTGAAAGTTAAAGAAGTTTCTGTCACAGAAGAAGTCCTGCATAAACTATGAAGCTCACAGTAAGCCGATTTAAACGCGATTATGCAGCATGCGGTTGTTCTGTGGCTTGTGTCGCCGTCGCAGATTGGCTGCGCTCTCAGAGACCCGGCTGCCCGCGGGAGCAGAACGTGTCCATCATATCCATAATTATCTGGAAGGGAAGTCCATCACTGCTGCATCTTACCAGCATACAGGCAGCATGGCAGTAAATAATCCCATCATCTCAGGCAGAGGAGGTCAGGCACACATAAATTTAACGCAGAGCACTTTTACATGCTGCAGGGCATTGTGGGAGGTTTCATCACATGAAGGATTGATGCTTTGGGTCGCCCAGGAAATACTGACTTTTTATGCACTAATTTACTTCTGCTAGACGTTTAGCAACGTTGACCTATTTTTCCATTAGCATTAATTTGACCATTTTTTCACTAAAGCAATATTTGACTGGCATAAATCACATATTGATGGATAATTGCTAGTGAGTCGTGCTCCTTGGTCTCACTGAACCTGGATGAGTTATGCTCAATATTTATTTGATTTATTTATGAAATGCACTTGGCTTTTCCAAATGAGCTTTTTTTAGGGTTGATTTTATTCTTTTAAGTTTTTAACGTGACCTTTAAGCAAATTGATCATGCATATTTCATCAGATATTAAATTGAAGTTCAGTTTTTTGCCTATTTGTTCTAGAAACTAAACAATTTACTCAATTGTCTCTAAATAGGAAGAGTCAGAGAGGGGAACTTTATAAAGTTTGTATGAAAAAGTCTTCCAATATGACAGAACCAGATTATAATAAAAGCCGCAGATGAGACAGTGACACTTTAGACGTATTAAAGCTAATAGTTGGCTGAGAGACTAAATGTAAATGATTTTTTTACAGCTACCTGCCTGCTTGCTGCTCACGGTGCTGAAGTTGGCGTGTGCCTGCTTGCTTTCTGCAGGACTCCAGCTGCAGCTGCTGCTCTTCACCAGTAGTTTTTCTTTCACCTTGTAGTTTCTGCCGACTTTCCGTTTGTTTCTCTGCTTGACTTCTCCCAGGTTGAAAGTTTGGAGAAGGTTTCAGGGAGAGGAGACGCACGTTGAGCGTCCGAGCTGCTTTGGCACGCTCACTTCAATAGCTAATACTTCAAACGGGCTGTGAAGAGAGTCCAGGTCCCTCCTGAACAATAAAGCAGCAGTAAGAGGTGGATCCTCCGTAATGCAGACGGATATTTCTCTGTCAGGTCTTCAGCTGCTGCGCTCAGCAAAATCAGAAATCTGGAGTCAAAGGACAGCAGGTTTACAGAGCAGACATGACTCTGTAGCATTCAGCTCTGCTTCTGCTTCAGTCTTGAAATATTGGTGCAGCATAATGTATGCTAAATATTTAGTAAACAGTTTTCTCACAGATGCCCTTGCTATCTGCTGCATGGATTGTGAAGCGGCGCGGTGAGATTGGGGCAAGGAGAGCGTAATTCCTGCCGTATATGACAAGATCTAAATTGGCATGGAGGTGAATTTATTTCTGTCCCTGCGGTGCGAGGACAGAGATGACGGTCAGGTGATGATCCCTAATATCTGAGCCTTCTCACGCCTCATTCGCCTCGCAGGAATAACATTGAGCATGGATTTAGCAAAGACCTTGACGTGACTGCCTGCTTGCAGGGAAGAATGCGCATTGTCTCTGCTGCATGGCTTCCAGAGTCTGAGGAGGGTCAACAGTGTCGTCTGTGTCTCGCTTTTCAGTCGAGTTAGAAATATGCAGAGCTTAATGTGATTCATTGTACTGATAACCTTTTTAAATTGACCAACATTTAGCAAAACACTTTGATGGATGTAGTTGATTAGTAAATCTGAGTACTACAAATTAGAAGTCCTCCCTGAAACCTTGTTTGCTCTCTCACAAATTGGACTGTAATGTGACTTTCTTCTGTAAGTAATTCATTAGCAGGTGAAGAGGGCCTCCGTTTTCACTCCGTGATCACTGAGCATCGCTGAACTCCTGCAGCTACAGCCAAGGTGTTGTTCATTACAGAGTCAGGTCTGCTTCACCAAGAAATCAAGGAAATAATTTATCCTGCATCCAAAACTTACATCATCTGCATATTTATGAATTCTTTAAAAAAGTAAACATATTATTGTAGTCAGAGTTTCAAAACTGTAACTTCTCCTTTTGCTAAAGCATTAAATAATATTTTATGTCATTTATAAATTGCATGAATAAGCATTAGAATCCAAAACTACCATGCAGGTCAGGACAGAAATATGTCAACATATTTTGACTCAGGTAAGAGTAGAAAATATCCAACCAGTTTACTGAGGAACTGATCAGCCATTAAATATTGAAAAATGACATCATCAGATGGACCAAAAGATAAAGTTCAGTGGAAATATTGAAATATTGATATTTTAAGAACCAAAATGACAATAATTCATAAAAGGTAATAAAATGAGGGAAATGTTTCCAAATCATTTTCTTTGAATAAAAAACTTCAGAAACTTTAACAGAAACTGCAGGTTTGTGTTTGTTTCTGGTTGAAACATGTTTGATTTTCATTCAGTGGGAAGAAAATCAACCTTAATACAAACTTCCTAAAATTACTCAAGTAAAAGTAAAGCATAGTGAAAATACTCCTAAAAGTATTTCCATGCTTTACTGTTTGTTATGAAACTGCTTCCTGTTCTCCTGAGGAACAGGAAGCAGTTTCATTTGATTTTGGGCGACCTGAACCTTTTCTTCGGGTCTCAGACAGGAAACAAGTTGCTGACCCAGAAGAATCAGGCGGTTAAACTCGGCATGTCGCGCGGTTTTTAATTAGCCTCATTGGATGAGGAGATTCTCTCCTCTGGTCTCAGTTTGGTCTCCTGCTTTGGGAAGCACAATGCTTTGCAGAAGTAGCCCAACACTTTGCAGTTTCTACAGGATTTCTATTTATTTTTTTAAACAAAACGCAAAATTGTGACTTTGGTTTCAAAATGAGCTTCATCCTGCTTTGAGTTAAAAGGAGTGTTATGTATTTCCCAACCAAAAAAGTGACATTTTAGTTTATAAACAAGTAACTATGTAACCTTCAGTTGTTATAAAAACACTATATATCAAGAGCAACTTCAAAGAGTTTGAGACTGATTTTTTGAAATTGGTCGCTGTCTCTTTAAGAACATATCAGCGGTGATTCTCCATGCCGTCCATTGATGCTGTTTAGTTCTTCGTGTAGTTTGTATGTTTAGCTCACAGCCCCACTGGGTGTTTGCTAGTTGTTGCTGCCGCTAGTCAAGAGGAGCTGTGTGCAAGAGACATGGGGGTGAAATGGGGACTGCAGCTCCAAGCAGGAGCTTTGAGGGAATAGATGGTTCTTTATGTCATTAATTATGCTCACACTGACCAGAATGTTTGACATTCATTCGTTTATTTCAAACCTTGCCATCGATGTGCAGTTGGACTTTTACTGGAAATCATTTAACTGAGTCCAGTTTCCTATAAACTACGAAACTGAAAGAAAACGTTCTTTCTTCTTCCATGTTTTGCAGCTTAGTCACTTCCTCCTCACACATTTTTTGGATAAACATTTATTGAGAAGAGTAAAAAATAAACACTTTGTCATTCATTGATCCACTCTTTGTGGATGAGTGTAATTTAGAAAACAATATTGTTTGACACCTTTTTTATGAGGTATTTTGTCCTTTATTTGAAAGCAGAAAGAAAGCAAAGAAGGTAATGAGAGAGACATACAGCAGGCTGGGAATCGAACCTGTGACTGCTGCCACAGGGCCTCCATGTGTGGGTGGTGCTTTGCAGCAACCAATATTGTTTTACACTTAAGCTTCAAAGCCACAACACAACATGCAGACAACAGAATGACATGTGGATGAAAATGCACCTAATGAGAACATTTACTTTTGTCTGTAACGTGAATTCAGGGATTATATGTAATTACTCAGAACCTCAGAACCCAAAAGGCTCTGGAACAAACCAGGCAGTAGAAGCTTCATCTCATGTGTCTCACAGACACACATGCGTGTGCAGACACACACATTATCTTTCCTGCTAACCCTGTTTTCCTTCACTCCCACTATTAAACACACTAGCACATTAAATCCAATTTACAGCTACTATCCAAAGGCTTGCATAATTGAGATTATTTAAATGTCTTTTTATCCATGTCTGTGTGTTTACCCTTGCAGGCAGCGCATGCACCATGTCAGAGTACAACAAGCTGAAGAGCACGCTCCTGGACATGCAACCGAAAGCGGCGGGGAGCGGCGAGCGGAGCCAGCAGCGCGACATGGAGGAGAAGAGGGCGCTGGTGGACGCCATGTTTAAACACCTGGACGGGAACGAAGACGGCCGGCTGATCAGCGACGAACTGGAGAAGGTGAGTTTTATTCAGGGTACCCAAAAAGTACCAGTAGCGACGACTTCAAAGTATTTTCACTCAAGAAAGAGTAAAAACGTATTTGGTAAAAAGTTTACTCAAGTACTGAGTTACTCAGTAAATACGAATTACATCCAGAAAATGAAGTGAAGTAGAAATGATTGTTTTTTAAGGACCAAAATTACAGTAATTTCTAACACAAAATAACAAAATTAGGCAAAACAAAGTTTTCTCGTTCTTCCCGAAGCTTCAGCAGGTCTGCAGGAGTCTGTCTGCTGAACCGTCGCTTTAAACGTCTCTGATTTCATCCAGTGGGAAGAAAATCCACAAATTTGACTCAAGATTAGAAATATTTTAGGAGTCAAAATACTCCTGAAAGTAGAATTTTGATTCTGATAACTAGATGATGACAAACTGACTTAATCCAAATCTTTAAAAAATGTTTGCGTTTATGAGTCAATGTGGTGAGATCAGCTTTTATATTCATACGTTATTTAAACCAGTGTTGTGGTTCACAATCAACTATAAAGTATTAACAAGATTTTTTGTTTAAGTTTTAACAAAAATGAATGCATTCAATGAAAAACTTGTGTGTTTTATTAGATATTAGCCTTCTAAGTCAAACAGCAGATTTTTCTGGTCTGTAATTGTGAGCATCGTCTGCTACCAGGAAATGGAAATCTCCATTAATCTCTCATTTCTTGTGCATCATAAACCCAAACGTGGCTTAATAATGATCTCATAAGAAGCTGAACTTTTATTAGCACCTCCAAATTGTCTTAAAGTGCTTCAGAATCCGGTCTTTTGTTGGATGATTGGCTGAAAATCCAACAAGTTTTATTCAGTTTTTACAATAGGAGAAAAAAAAGTTGAGACTTCAGCCTTTTATGTCAGCGCTGTATTAAAAGATTTAATAACGCAGAAATCCCTTGATAAGACATTCTTATCATGTCGGAATTCATGAGTTCTGCTTTGCATCGATGACGGCTTTCCGGATCAAAGAGGAAGTGCAGTCATCCATCCGCAGCGTCTTCGCTCGGCGATCTGCCTTTTGTCACAGATAATGTTGGATGGTGAAGCCCTTTTACTGAGGGTCTGAAGATGTTTTATTCAGACGCCCCAGGGCAGAGCACCCTGTGACAGCAGACATATGGCAGCAGTCGGCTGCGGGTGCATAAAAAGTTTCACATCCTTTAATCTGCCATGTCACATGTGCGTGTCCATATAAACCATTTAAAAGAAGATTACTGGGAAGACGGGGTTATGAGACGCATGATGCAGCTGTCCTTATTACCTTTGCATTCTTCAGCACTGCACTTCTCAGGATCTAATTTCTGTAAATCATACAATTAAATCTGACTACTAATTTAATCTAGATAAGTTTTGGTTGCTTTCAAGCAACCAAAAGAAAAAAATGCATCAGCTCTGTGCAGCGTCTGCTCTCTAACAATCTGCTTTGCATGTTTCATGGCCTTTAAACTCTGCAACAGCTGAGAGGCTTTTGCTTCTTCTTTGGGGGATTTTGCTCATTCTTCATGCAAAATGCTTCTAAATCTGTAATATTCTCTCGCTGTGTTGGATGCTTTTGAGGTTTTTCTATAGAGTTTGCAAATAGGGCAATGGAAGAATCTTTGCCTCTTGAATTATTTGTTTGTGTTTTGGCAGATTTGATAGGATTGGTAATTCTGTTATGGAAGCTATATTCTTTAGTGAAAGCTTAATGTTTTCCTTTTGAAGCTCCGTGTTATTCACAGCCATTCTCCTTCCACTGACAACAAGGTTTGAATATAAAGCAACATGATTTTAATTCTCCTTCCTGTGTGATGTAAGCTTGCTGTCCTCATGCATTTGCAACTTATTTGTTGAAAAGCAAAGTAGTACAATAATCAGTTATAATCAGAGACGCTGAACCACCGAGACGCTGAACCACCGAGACGCTGAACCACCGAGACGCTGCGCCACCGAGACGCTGAACCACCGAGACGCTGAACCACCGAGACGCTGAACCACCGAGACGCTGAACCACTGAGGAAGCAAATTCCACACAGTGTTGCTGGTTTGAGCTGTACTTTTGTGATTTTGTGAAGTTGGAGGCTGCACTTGACTCTAACCAGCAACACTGTGAGGCGTTCAGGGACATTTAAATGATCTGGAAAAAATATTGATGAGCAGCTGCAGCAGTTTGGAGACAGTGGAATAATGCAGGATGACTGAATAGTGTGATCTGTGAATAGAAATATTATTTATTTATTTGACATCTTGTCTTTAACATCTGAGTTTATTTTCTTAATTTTTGATAATCAGATTGGGAATGTTTGGAGCAAAGACGCTTCAGTTTGCTGCTGCGATGTGTCTGCAGATCTCGCTGAAGCAGCAGATGGAGCGCAGCCTGCTGCAGTGCACCGTGCAGGACCTGCTGCGGTACGACGACTACAACAACGACGGACATCTGAGCCTCCATGAGTTTTACACAGCTTTCCGTAAGTTTTCACATCTCGTTTCAGAGAGATAAATGTTTTTGTTCGTTGTTTTGTGGCCAATCTACCATCGCTGGTTGTTGTTGAGCTTTGGCCTGTTTTTTAATTTCTCAATCAGAGCTGTTATGAAGGAAGATATCAGAATAGAGATGGAAATATTTAATGCCTGTTTTCCTGCTGGAAGCAGAAACTTTAAGATGTTCTGCAACACAAGGTTTGAGTCGAAATGGTTATAAAATATTCTGGTTAGAAACTTTACAAAAGCAGCAAAGATGTTGCAGAACATTTTAAAATCAAGAATTTTTTCATGTCAAATATAATATAGTATAGAGAATCTTCACATCCACAGTGAAGATTATAATTTCACCATCTGGTTAATATAAAAACACTTTGACTTGCGTTCACTTCGTGTCCATTTGCACCACTTAAATGCGTCCAGCGCCTCTTCCTCTCCGCTCTGCGCCGCCAGCGCATCCATCAGGATGAAAGCGTTTTGGATCAAATGATGATTGCGCGGTCGCCGTGCGCCGGCCTCGGCCTTAATGAGAGCGTCTGAACGACCAGACGCTCTCGCTGGGGAACCACGTCACGCCCCGCGTCCAAAGGTCACTGAGGAGAAGAGGTCAGGTCCTGCAAGGTGATGGAAAATGTGTGAGGACAGCAGCGAACGACGGCAGTCGGCCGTCTGTGAGCCGTTAATTTGGCTCCAGCGAGACGAAAACGTCTCACCGCTGGCTGCTGCTCTGCAGATGGGCAGAAACCTGGTGGATTCATCTACCTGCAGATTTACCCACAGGGTATTAGGCTGAGTTTGTCAAAGCATTTTATGTTTGACAAGCAGCTGAAGAGGTGGGCAGGGACCAATAACAAGATATTGATCAGATAAAGCTCAAGGTTAAGTGTTGGACGGTGGAAAGGCAACAACCACAGGGAGTCATTATGCATGAGTGGCACATCTGGTATTTTAGGTCATGTGGAGGCTGTTAAATTGTGCAATTCATCATGATTGTGTGTGTGTGTGTGTGTGTGTGTGTGTGTGTGTGTGTGTGTGTGTGTGTGTGTGTGTGTGTGTGTGTGTGTGTGTGTGTGTTGGCATAGCCTCGGTTCTGTATCAGTGAATGATCTGGGAAACGGCAGAGCCAGAAATCGCAGGTGTGCTTCGCAGGGAGGAAATTGACGATGCAAATTTAAACTTGGAAAGAAGCATGAAAATTGTAAATGATGGTATTTTCGTCGTGGTTTATTGTTTTTCAGGCCAAATATCTGAGTTCAGGTGAACTCGTTCCCCGCAGCTCTTGGTGACGTTTTAAAGTCTTTTAACTAAAATGTAAACTTTATGAAATGTGCAAATATTTGACCTCTGGCCACATTTACCATGTTACAAACCAAAACCTGCCTGTAGAAACTTTGAAATGTTCAGTGTGACCCATCAGAAAGGATTTGGGTTGAAAACTCTTAAAATAACTGTGTTATGTTGAAGAGCTTTAAAAAGTATCTATTGGTAGCAGTAACTGTTGCCTTTATTTGATAATTATTAATTTTACATGTAAAAACAACAGTAATAATAATACTGCAGACTGTTTAGTGTTTTATATAAATATTTCAGGCAAAGTTAATAAAACCTGATCCAGTTTCACTTCAGAACAAAGTTATCAAATTAATTCACACAAGCAGATTATTGGCTGATTTCTTCTGAAGTTGGATCCACTAGTTATTTTATTTAAAAAAATGAAATGAATAAAAATCTTGTCTCATTTGGTTTCCTCTTCTCTCTGTTGGTGTGTCATAAACAGTCCCAGTAAAACCACTGACGTGTGTGGTGCCACTGGGACAAAATGTGGGAAAGTAAAAGGGTCATAAATAGATGATATTTATTTCTTTGTGCTGCCTGGTTGTGGGTTTTTCTCCTGTCCTGTAAAACCCACCAGGAATCGAACACAGAAATCTCGACATCACAACGTTTTCCTGTCTTGAATCTTGTTATGTATTTTTTCTTTTTTGCAACAAGTTGATTTGGAAATATGGTTGGAGAATAGTCCTGATTGCATTGCTATCGACCCACTGCTCCTTATTCTGTCATGTTTTCTGCTCTCCTGCCTCGTCGGCTCGGCCGCTGACAGAACAGAAAGGCTTCAACACCTTTTCCTTTCCTAAACACCGCAGGTTTTAACTGATTTATCCGTAGAGATTATGGATAATTAACTGCAGAAAGCAATCAGAGCAATCAGATTTACAATTGTGTGTCTAATTCAATCAGTAAATGCAGCCATAAAATGATTGTAAATCCTGTAATAATTGCTTTGATAAGTAAGCATGAGTTCATGATGCAAGGTTATCACAAATTCCTGGGAATCTGTGGCCTGAAGTCTCATTTCTGGAGGTAAGAAGAGACAAACTGGAGGGGAATGTTGTCGGTGTTTTCTCTGGTGCATTTTACACCAATAACTCTGCAGCTTTGCTCAATAAAGCCTGAGAAGAGATCGAATAATTCCCGTTCTTTTGGAGCTTATTGCAGGACAGAGATAACAACGTAATAGCTTTGAATCAGCGCTGCAGCTCCCTAATGGTTCACAGGTTCACAGGCTTGTGTTTCCTAATATTCATTACGCTGTCATTATTGTGGAGGAGGAGATGCCCTTTGTACCAGAATCAAAACCCTGTAATTACACAATAGCAAATGTGCAAGAATTTCCCTCCCGGACGTGACCGCTGCTATCGGATCGCATTAACTGTACAGCCAAAGGCAGCAGTGCATTAACAGTAGAGTCGATAAGGGAGGGATTATTGAGAGAGCGCTGTGGCCTACAGGTGTAATACATACATGTGTTCTCTCAAGGTCAGCGCTCCCTAGAGGAAACTGCATGTGCTACATTATCTGCATGTTATGTTCAGTTCATTGGAAAACCATTCAAACGGCAGGCAGCAAAATACTGATGAACATTTTCTCAAATCAAACCAGTAAAACTTCTGTGAAAGTCATTTCTAAAGAACAGCTACGAACTAAAACAGATTCAGGAACCGACAATTTCTAAAACTAAGTTCACATTGCGACCAAAATCTGTATTTTTGGTCCATTTTTAACCTCTGAACACATTTCCACCAATTCTGGTCTGTAATCACATCTGCAGCTCTGGAAACAATGAAGAGACTTTTTAAAATAATCACTTTCTCTAATCCTGCTTAAGTTTGAGTGAAGTGAACATTGACGTTCCAAGCAGAAATTTAGTATTTGCAGAAAATGACCTCAAATAAAAGTGGCTGATATTCATTTAGAAATAACAATACTAATGATTTTATTCAGGAGGAATTCAGAAATCTGTATTTGATGGAATAGCCATGTTTTCACTGCCGTGCTCTCGCATTGGATGTGAAGACAGAAATGTTCACCCACAGCATGATGCTGCCACCACCGTGTCTCTGTGTTAGTTTTATGGCCCATTCGTCTGCTCAGCATTTACTGACTGACAGTTTTACTAGTTGCAATTTTTTTGGAGAAAAATTGCTTTACTTCGCAGTATATTTTACTCAGATAAAACTTCTGGATTTTCTACCCACTGAGTGAAAAACACGTTTTCACCAGAAACTCACCGAACACAAACACACACCTCAACATTTCTGTTCACGTTTCTGAAGATTTTTATGAAAAAAAAAGATTTGGAAACATTTTATTTGTTGTTACTCATTAAATATTGTCATTTTGGTCCTTAAAAGGCCAAAATTGCAACTCATTTCTTTATTTTGGTCCATTTCATATTGAAATTGTAAAAATTAAGTGTTTAATAATTTGGTCAGTTACTTTTTACCAAACATAGGACGGCTACTTTTTACTTTTCTGTATTTCTACTCATAAATACAGTGAGGATTAAAATAACTTCACATTTGTGTTTGTAAAAATATTTAATAATCTTTTAATAGCATACATAAAGATCGAGTTCAGATTTTTCTTAATTTGTTTTGTCTGAACTGGGCCTGCATCATCGCGTTCAGAGCCTCTCCAGATAATCAGGGAGAAAATCTGTTTGCTGGTTTTGTCACTGAAGCTCTTGCGTTTGTCAGATCTGCCTGCCAGAAGGGAACTTTCCATCACTGGAGGATTGATGCGCAGCAGCGCTGGTGCGCTTTAATTTTCCACTGAGAAATTAGGGGCCGCTGCGTGTGATCATGTTGAGAATGTGGTGCAGCTGGCTTACAGACGGGAGCATGGAGCGCGGTGGAAACCCTGCAGGTCCCGCCGAGACAGAAGCAGGCAGCAGAAAGAAGATGCTGCATGCTGTGGTGCCGTCAGTCTGCTGGAGCGCATTCTGCAAATCTTTACCATTAAGTCAAACATTTTACAGCAGAATCAGAGAAAAATAACAAGAATATCATTTTCTCAAAGCCCTATTTACATATATAGCCCTGTACTTACTAATAATCCACAGAAATAAAATGTGACATGTTCACAGCTCTGGGTTATATAAGTGTTATTGCTGCTCAACACAAAATTAACTGAGCTAAGAACAGCTGCAGTGATTTGATAACATGGCACCAAAATATAAACTCTGGCATTTGTTTATGTAAAGACATCTACAGATATGCTAACACCAGCATGCTTATTACATGGTTTTAATATGACTTACTGGTAATTTAGCACAGTTCCAGTTAATGCTGTGAAAACAAAAATGCTTTGGCGCTGATGAGGCGACGCAAGTGTGAGTTATATTCTACCTCAAACAATATAAATAGAATATTCCACCTATAACGTTGTTATAACGCTGTAGTAACGTTGTTATAACGCTGTAATAACGTTAGCTTAAACCTTAAAAATGCACACAGGTCAACATTCTTCTTAAAATCTGAACTTCAATCATGTTTTTTCGTTGATTGAATATCCAACAAGCTCATTTTGAGATTCATTGCTTCAAAGGAATAGATCTTAAGCGAAAAGTGACTTTTGTCACTTATAAAGGACGACTGTTTGCAATTTAAACCAGGGCAACTTTCTTATTGTTTCCTCCTGCTGC